ATTGTTGTCCCATTGAATCTGGGAAAACCGAGGCTCAGAGAGGATGTGAGGTCTGTCCTTGGCCCTACGTGGGCACAATCAACATTTGCAAGGAGGACTTTTTACTTGAAAGCCTGTGCTTTCCACTACATTCATGCCAACCCCTTAGAGAATTAAAAGATGAAATTAAGGCTGTAACTGAATGTTTTGTTTATGAAATGTTTTCATAGCAGCCAAAATTATTTAAACAATGGAAGCATAATTAGCAATGTAGAAGTATTACCTTTTGATAAATAATAATGATGGTAGCCTCCAGTTTCATTACATAAAGGCTACTGATACCACAAGGACCTCAGAATCTTATTTATACATCCCAGGGACCACTTGAAACATCCATACTCTTTAAGGCAGTATCTCCCTGGCAGATGCTGTGCTGGATTCTTGGACCACTGATCTATGTAGTCCAGGACGATGGGGCATAAGGTAGGGTCTCTGAACTCCTCACTTCCACTTTCCTCTCCTCACCCCGCTAGTTACTTCTGGACAGACGCTGCCTTATCTGCTTACTGCAGAGTAGGGATACTATCCCTTTCTCTAAGTGCTGTGATGTGGGAAACGTTGGGAAACACTGCTTTTAAATATTAACACCACCAGACCTAACTTTCTCCAGTGAGATAAACATGAAATTCTGTAGGCTGTTGGTATATCTCAAATCTGGTAAAGACCCCAGGATGGGCTGAGAGTATGAAGGCAGGTTCCCAGGTAGCCCCGCTAGCTGCAAATTCAGGAAATACTGCACTTCATTTAAGCATGGCTGATGATGTGTAGCCCTGAGAAGGGTGCATGTGGAAATAATAGAAGCCCTGTGCTTCTCCCTCAATAAAACATTTTTAGGACTTCTTTCCTAACATTGAGGTGGGTGGAAACATAAGCAAAAGGCATGTGGCTGGATGGAGCCTAATAACGCTATTATCTACCCTATTTTCTCTGAGTCCCTTCTTAAAGGCAATGCTCTTAAAATGTAATTTTTTTCCCCTAAAACTCATGCTACCTCAAGATTGTCTCCAATGTCACCATATAACGATCCTCTGATGGACCATAAAACTTACCACCCATGTAGTGTTTTCCCCTAGAGATGTTCTGTGATCACTTGCTCTCAGATGGCCAGGTTAAACCATTCAGTTTGGTGGGAAGCCATTGGGTCCATCAGTCTGTGTCCACGGTCTTCGGAAGTTGTAACTCTCTAGGCACAAATGGCTGCAGAGCTGCTCAGTGCTCTCCCCGTCATCTCACGACTGTCAGTCTCATGCAGTGAGAGCTGTAAAGGGGCGTCTTTCCAGTGAAAGGACACCACCCTCCTTTCATGCATATCCTCCTTCAAGACATGATTTGTCCCTTCTCCTTTCATGACCCATTGCTTCTCTGGTAAGAGGTTATTGGGCAGGGTTGTTAGAATCTTCTGGCACAACATACCTGGTGAAATTGGGGCTTGGGAAAAAGCCAAGAAATGAATAAGTTCGGGGTCTCACATTTACATATTCTCATGTGATGGCCAGCAGTGGTTCAGATCTGATTGATAACACTTTTGAGAGCATAATTTCCTGTGTTTTTGTGCTCAGGGGAAATTGTTACCTGCTTAAGAAATTGTTGTGTATTTCAGGTTCTAGGTAATGAACGTTTTGTACCATAGTATTCCAAACCAAACCCAACCAAATCAACCAATATTCACAGATTGTTATTACAGCCACGTTTTTTGGGAGAATCAACTGGTAGATGGAGCTTCAGAATCGCCAGTCACAAAAACCAAGAGGATGGCTTAATCGTGAGAAGACAGATCTATCAGCTGCCCTTACCCAGTATCTTTAGGACTGAATATTTACCTTTTAATTCTAAAGTGACAAATTCAAGGGCCTTCTGGACTGAAACAACACAGTTCACTGTTTTGTATTTTTCTTTGATTAAATCCAGGAGGTTGACATCCCTATTTAAAAAAATGTGCAATTTTAGCATTAAATAAGCAATTAATTCTATTAAGGCTGGATTCTATCAAGCTATTGCTTCAGGTGCAATTGTCTAAAAAAGAGGTCTTTCCAAGGAGTGCAGAACAGCACAGCCTGGAGACACTCCTACCACCCTGAAAGTGACAAGATCTTCCCTTGTATGGAGGTATATTCTGAACAACGTCTTACAGCACAGAGAATTAAGTGCTTACTTCCTTACAGAGGATTATTTTTAACTGTGATTTGTTTTTTGGCCTTTATATCCTGTGTGTATATTTCTGATGTGGAGTGCTTTGGCTGTGTGTTTAAATTATTTGGTGCTTAAAGGAATGTCATAGAGAATGTGAGAGCATTTCTGGAATTCTTTGCCTGGCTCTGGCTATTTGCAAGAACGTATTCCTGCTTCCAGCTTGACTGTTCTGGTGGCTGACAGGTACTGACTTTCCCGAAGTTAATCGTCAGTATAACAAAGAGATGGGCAATTCACCACTCTCTTTATTGTTAGAAAAAACCTGGGTATGTTGGCCTCAATTGATAATAAGAGATAACATCTGCTCAACATTACTTTCCAGTACGCACAATTGGTCTAATCCTCATGACAAGTTTTGGATCTAAGTGCTAATATGATCATTTCACAGATGAGGAATCTGAGGCTTAGGGAATTACACAGTTGTCCTGGGTGACACAGCTAACAAGTGTTGAAGGATTCAGTGCTCCAGCCTCTCTGAGCTTGCGCTGGCAAATTTTCTAGCTTTATAAACATTTGGTATCATAGGGGATGCCACGAATAAACTTATCTTTTATTAATTCTTCTGAGAAGCTAGTGATTCTTCTTATAGTGGCTTGTTTTCTTTTGTTCCTTTGCTGTCTGTGTGCCAGCACAGCGTATCTGACTGTGTTCTTGAGAATGACTTAGCTGCTCTGCTTACAGAAGTTCACCTGTGACTTTCCTCCCGGGGTTGCCCTCTCCCTCCTCTCCAGGTGTCCTTCCTCCATTCTTTCAGTGTCAGTTCAGCTACTGTTACTGAAGACAAGTTTGTGTCCCTGACATACCGTGAGGCCAAACTGAAACGTTGGAGTTTGGAGCAGAGACAGGTTTATTGCAGGGCCCAGCAAGGAGGACGGGGTGGCTCATGCCCAAGAAAACTCCTAACTCCCTGAAGGGTTTCAGCAAAGCATAGTTAAAGGCCAGGTGAGGGAGGGGGGTCACAGAGTATGTGATCAGCTGGTGCACAATTCTCTGACTGTGTGATGTTGAGGTAACAGGGCAGTCACCACTATCAACCCCTGGGCACCAGAAAGTCTGGGGGCCACGGGCTCTCGATTATCAAGTAGTTAATTTCTTCCCGCTGGTGGTGGTTTTTGCATCTGTAAAAATAAGGAAATATACATGAGATACTATTATCTGAGTACTTCAGAGAGGAGGTACAGCCGAGGATATGGGATTGGGGGTGGTCCACCCGAGAAGGCCCCACAGGGTCCTATTTGGTTACACTATTACCTTTTATTGTGATCCTTTTCCTGAATTTCCAACATGTAATCAGTCTCTCTCCGTTCTGCACTCTGCTCTTAACTCCTTCAGAGTAGTTATCAAGTTATTGCATAATTATTACTGTTACCGAGCTCAAACTTGTTCTGCTCGCTGTACCACAGGCCAATAAATTGGGAGATGAGGTGTTGGGGCAAGGAAAAATGACTTTATTTGGAAAGCCAACAGACCAAGAAGATGGGGGAACTAATGACTGGAGAACCATCTTACCCAAGTCAGAATTCAGGCTCCTTTTATACTAAAAAGGGGAGGGGATGTGGTTGGTTGTTGCAAACTTCTTGGTGTGGAAATCCTTTGTTCTCACAGCTGTCCACATGGGTCAAGTCATGATGTTCCTGTAAACCTCCAACACAATGAATGTCACTCTCTGTTCTGCAACTGTTTATCTCTATATGGATAGAAAAGTATTATACCCTTAAAGGTCAGAGCCTGGAGAATGGGCTCTCCTGTGTATTTCAGGCTCTAGGCAACATTCTTTTACAAAAGGTGCAGAACCAGCATGGCTCAGCACAGGAAACAGAGCACAGGGTTAGAGCTTCAGGAACAGATGTAATACAGAGTCAGATTTGTTCGTTGCTATTACGTTAGTGTTCACGTTTTCTTCCTCAGTAGGCTCAAATCTACCTGAGGCAAAGATACTATATATTTATCCTATATCCTCAGCATGTAGCACTGTTGTGAGTACACTCAGAGACAGGGAAATAGTAGGGGGCCAGGAAGATGGAAGAAATGAGGGGAGTTACCGTCATTTAACGAGATCTGAATAATAATACCTCATTTTTATTATCCAGCAAAGCACTTGAGTTAATAGTCTATATTCCTAAGACAGAAGAGCTAGTGTATAATTAATAGGATGCAAGTTTGGACGGGCCTGAAGCTTCCACAATTTGAGGACATCTTCCTTAAAATCTATTTACAGAATTAAAAACACAAGCATCTTTAAAAAGTAAATATTTATGACAAATAAAAAATCATGAGAAGCTGTAAGTGAACAAAATCTGGGAAATATGATATTACCATAAATCCAGAAAAAATAGCATAATGTTTTTATTAATATGCTGCCCTGCACACTTCCACATTACTGTTTTCCCCTGTATTTTTTGACTACAATTTTTTTAATCACTTCTGCCTAAGAGAGTAATTTTGTAATATTTTTCATAGAGAAAATGCAATTCAGTCTTCTCTCTGGATGATTGAAATTTATTTTTTATTATGAACAATGCCAAAAAAATATGTTCAGCTTTATAACTTGTTCCTGGTAATGTCATGTCAATTGTTAAGATTGCTGTCAAATTTGGGAAGACCTCTATCAAATTTCATTCATATATGAACTATGTAGTATGGAAGAATTTGAGTGAGCAAAGTAGGAGGTTGAAATATACACCTTTAAAATTGAAAAAAGACAATTGGACAAATTGATTCATATTATCTGACTTTGAGTAGGAATCCTCTTCGTTGAAACTCTTCCCTAGGTTGCCTTGAAAATGTCGCATGCAGTCTGGAGGGTCAGAAGAATGAGGAAGGTGACGTGGCCACTGTATTTCCCAACAGGGAGGTCTTGGTGGAATTACAAGCAGCCATTTCATCATAGAATTGGAGAGTGAGAGTCTGGATTTCAAGGTAAAGAAGGAACGAGGTGTTGAGGGATAACATGGAGACAATGGTATAGAATATACATTTGAGATGTTTAGAAAGTTAAGAAAGTAAGATGGTAAGAGAAGGACCAGAAGGATTAACTAACAAACGGGAGGAAAAAGGCTGTTGGCATTTTTAAGAGAGAGTTGCTTGAAGTCAGATTTGGAAATTTGTCTCACCGGCTCTATGTTGTCTCTGACGCAGCATGCCAAGGCATGGTTTGTGGGAGAGTGTTAACCTGGTATCAGTCACCAACATGAAGAAATGCCCCCTCTAGTCACTCATTGCGTGTATGTCAATCATAAATTTAGATAAGTTAATGTTTTAATTTATTCAGCTTGTACCATCTTTTAGGGGAATATTAATGATAACTGCTATTAATGTAACAGTTCCTTTTTTGAGGTATTTTCACATCCATTATCTGATTAGAGGACCATACTTGTTAACTTATTTATAAATAAGTAAATTATTTACAACTTATAAGGGAGAGGTGAGATCTTAAAGATCTTATCTTAAAGATGGCCAGGTGAAAATTCAGAAATTTTCAGTTATCAGAAAATTCAGTTATCAATTCTGGGAACTGAAAGAAGGAAGTGGCATTGAAGGTGCCTTTCCCCACTTGACAGGGTGGAGCTACAGGATCAAAGGGGATATTTATGGGGGAATTTTAAAATCGTTTCTGCTGCACTATGCGATGTGTTTCCTCTCCCTCCTCTGTGTCCCCTTCAAAATGTTCAGAAAAGCAAGATTTATTATTCTGATATTTTAATTTATTTTCTCTTGCAGTTTTACTGAGATCTAATTGAGATTTAGCGCTGCATAAGTTTAATGTGTACAGCATGACTTGACTTACAGACAACATGAAATGATGACCGTTTAGGTTTAGTGAACATCCATTGTCTCATATAGGTACAAAAATTAAAGAAAAGAAAAAAAATCAATTTTCCTTGTGATGAGAATTCTTAGAATTTACTCTTTTAAGAACTTTCATACATAACATACAACAGTGTTAAGTATGTTAATTATGTTGTACATTATATCCCTAGTACTTATTTATCTTATAAATTTGTACCTTTTGACCGCCTTCATCAGCGTTCAGAGATGGTTCCAATGTTTTTATAACAAAGGCTTCTTTAGGGGAATAATGATCACACTTTAGTGTGAATGAAAGTCATTTGGGTAGTGAGTTCAAATGCAGATTTAATTCAGTAGAAGCTTCTTGGGGATGGGGAACTGGTTGCTGTGCTGAGCTCTGTATTCAGGTGGGCATGGGATGGGGGTTGGAACAGGAAGATGAAGACAGAGCTAGTGTCTGAACTTTAGGACATCTATTCTACTAGGAACCTGAGTCAGAGAAATTAAATGCCCTTTGGTCTCTTATAGAAGTAGCTAATAGAAGGTGGCCCTGGGACATGAACCTTAGTCTTCAGGACTTTGGTCCTACCCTGTCTCTATCACTGTACCCTGAGAGATGGTGTACCCATGTGGCTAAGAGCATGGAGGTTTAGAGCTGGGTTTCCTGGTTCTGAAGCTTAGCTCTTCCACTGATTAGCTGTATTATCTTGGGCAAAATCGTTCATCTCTGCATGCCTCAGTTTCCCCATTGGAAGATGGGTATAATTTGTCATAGGAGTAAATGAGTTGCTATTGGGAAAGGCTGTAGTAAGCGCCAGGCAATTAAGAAATCCCTCCCTCATGGCCTCATGCATTGTCCTGTGGCCTCCTTCCAGCTGCAGCCTTAACCATGGTGTACACACGTCCGCTGTCCCCCCCAGTGCTGACTTTGTGGGCTCCAGGAGAGGGTAGAGCTGCCCAATTACATGCATGCAGTAGCTCCCTTCAATGCAAAGCCAGCCACATGAGGAAGAGGTATTCTGCCTCATTCTGTTGCACTGCCCCTGCTTACATCCATGGAGATGCCCAGGTTATAATGTTTTTAAATCTTCTCGTGGGAAACCATTGAAATTATTACTCAAGCACAAGAGATAGTTGGGTTTTATTTATTTGTTTGTTTTTTGTCCTTTGGGCCTTCTAATATTCCAGTCTAACTGGCCAAGAAATTTGTAGCAGATTTTGGAAATCTGTAATGATTCTCTTTCCTCTCTCTCTTTTTAACCCCTAGTATTTTCAGAGGAAAAATTATTCTTAGTGGCCAAACATGGCCAGTCCTTTTTTTTTTTCCTGTCCTATTTGTTAAGCCAAAATAGATAACGCATTTAAAAACGAGAACTTTTCTCTCTAGTAGTGTCTCTCAGTTGCCTTGTTCTTTTTGGATGGTGTTTTCCTTTGATAGTCTGGGACGTCACATTAGACATGGGCGTTGCCAGCAGCTGTTAGCCAGAGGTGGAGCAAGAAGTCCTCCCCGCAGCTAGGTGTGTCTCCTGTCTTTTCCTCACGTCACAGGAGTAGCACTGATGAGAGTGTTTTCATAGAAAACACTCTGTGGGAAGCCATGACCACCCAGGCAAGCCATGGCTCACTCAGCCATAAAGGGCAATGGGGCAAGCTCGCTGATCCCCCCTGCTGGAAGTGCAAATTAGTGCACTGGTTCTGTAGATAAATATGGCAATATTTATGTATACGTATTACAAATACCTGCAGAATATTCTAAATACAAAGTATATATTAAGAACCCTTAAAATGTGCAGTATCTGATTCAGAAGTTTCATTTCTAGGAATTTTTTATGTCTAAGGAAATACTTAGACAAATGTGCCAAGGTATGTAAACCAAGGATGTTTATAAAAACATTGTAACAGTAAGAAAATTGTAAACAACTCAACTCTTCAAGAACAGTGGATTGACTAGTAGCTTATAGTGCATTAACATATGGACTGTCAGGCAACTATTAAAAACCATGGTTTGCAAAATAATTATTCTATGTATTATATATGGAAATATGTGTTGCTATGGGAAGAAGGACTACAGTATGATACATTAAAATTGTGTATATTTACTTCTGTATGAATTTTGATTTGCTTAGAAAAAGAAAATATAAACAACAAGGTATGGCCAAAAATCATCTCAGATTGTGGGATTATGATTTTAATTTTATTTTAATTAATTCATTTTGTAAATTTTTCACGCTAGTAATATGTTACTTGCATAAGAAAAAATGATTATGTGGAATGGCTTGTGTCTGACACAGAGAGTTACAAACTGTTCTACCACATATCCCTATTTAGAAATGTTTATACATCTGAACATGTGTTAATAACATTTCATTATGTCAAGTGGAGAAGAGAGAAAGATGGCTTCTTTCAAAGCCAAAATCCCCTCACAGAACTGAAATCCCTTTAGGTCTGTTGTTTTGTTGACTTTGACAGAAATGCAGCTCCATAAACTTAGACCTGTGTTGAGTTAGCTTGTGGATGCTGTGTTATCACACTCTCCAATCTCTGCTACAAAATCCAGAGGGGTTGACTATCTTCGATGCATTTAGAATACACATACAGAAGCCAAAAGAAATAAAAAAAAAACTAAAACCCAATATATATATACTTGATCTCTATTTTCCTTGGAAAATATTCTAAAGAAACATCATTAGTGCCCAAGATTCCCAAAACCCAAGTGGTATCGGGTTTGCTTCTTTGTGCTCTATGCCATTTACATTTTTGTACCTTCTTATCTGCAACTTTGTGGCCACATTGCAAGCAATCTTTTGGATGTCAAGAGTCTTTATTAAATGCTTTCTCAGGTGGGGTTTTAATGTTGCTTCTATAATAAGAAAGAGCCTGTGTCATCATGATAAGGTAGGCAACCAGATCTTAAGCCTGCTTCTGTAATTGATGGCTGTGTGGTCTGGCATGATGATGATGATCATGATGTGACAGAAGCAGGAGTCATACTAGTAGCGGCAGCAGTAGTAGTAACTACTTGGTAGTGGTAGTAGTAATAGTAGATATTAGTAGTAACTACTAGGCAGTTGTAGTCTTACTACTAACAATAAATCTAGTGGTAATCCCATCTATAGATCCCTTACTGTAGGCAAGGAACTCTTCTAAATACTTTACATCCATTGTCTTATTTAATCCTGAAATCTCCGTGATAAATAGAGATTATTATCCCCATTTCACAGATGAGGGAATTGAGCTATAGAGAGACTGAGTAATCTGCACAAGTGACACAGTTAACAGGTGGCAGAGATAGGGATTAAACCCAGGTTGTTTGTCTCTAACCCTATGTTCTTTCTGATTTACACACTGTCTTCCCAAGTCTTTCATAATATCTGGGCCTATGGTTTACCATTAATAATATGAGGAGTTTAGGCTAACTAAATAGTTGCTATGGTTTCCTGTAACTGTAACATTCTTGCAGTCTATATGCAATACCGTAGAGAATTGAGGTGATTAAATGGATAAAGCCAAGTTGCCTGGGTTTGTGTCTTGGCTTTACAACTTGCTAGTCTTGTGGTCTTACCTAGTTACCTACTTTTCTGTGCTTCTGTTTCCTCATCTGGAAAATGAAACCTGCAATAACTGCTTCATAAGATAGTTGTGAGGACTGAGAAAGATTATATATGGGCAATGCCTGACACAGAGGAGGCGCTTTATTCATGAATTCTGGTATTTACATATTTTTCTCAAAATACAGGAAAGAAAATCTAATTTCCTTTCCTTCTTGGTACAATTCTTTCACATCTCGAATCTTTGATTCAGCATAGCTCCAAACAATTTCAAATTCTAGGGTGGCCAATTCATTTAGTATGTCTAGACCTTTTCCAATTTGAGCCCTGAAAGTCCCATCCCAGAAACCCCTCAGTCTTGGGAAACTGAGAGAGTTGGTCACTCTACGTTTAACAACCTAGCATGACTCTCTGAGGTCCCAGCCTGTATGACTCATCTGTCTTTTTGTTCATCTTTACATTTCCAGTAGCCTTGTCTCACTCCCATCCTGGAGGAATATGGGAACACTTGAGAAATCCACTCATTCATAAATGTCTTTCCTGCTACCCATCTTCATGTGTTTTGGGGGTCCTCAAGTCAAA